TTCCAACCCAGATGTCTGGAGCCCGGTCATTACGGACTATTATAGCTATCATATGAGTATGTGGTTTATACTGGTAGCTCCTACTTCTGATACTAAGTCAGCATTCAGCTGTTGACCCTGGACAACCTTGGTATTTCCCAGAGTTCCAGGGTGGTTCTTTTGACGCTTGGGGTCCGACGGCACCAGGTAAATTATCAGTTACGCCTTAGTTACGCCTTCGCATGACCTTCCTATCAGGGTACGATCAATGCCGCATACTCACGGGAGTCGATTTTGAGAATGTCTTCAATCTTCATCTTTGGGCGTCCAACGCAAAACTAATCAACTACTACATGCTATACGGGCAAGCCTTCCATTATTGTTCTTGGTTCGAAACTCAACACGCTTATAGAGGAACCTCATGGGGTGCTCTTCCTTTCCCCGGAGTTTACAGTGAGATTCTACCTCTCTAACAATAATACTACTAGCTTATCGACTCATAGCTTCGTACGATTACGGGAGTGCTATTGCAGAGAACAGAGAACTGACTGTCAAGTATCCGGAACTTAAGCGTCAGGGTCTCTTCTTGCGAAGCTCCCCAGATTTCTATAAGACGGACTGGGTTGGAAACGGTACTGGCGGCATGGTGTCTGTCTCTAATCCGGCTGCCTTTGTAACTCTGTTAAGGAACCCCGATTCAGCGGCGTCATTCTACATCGCAAGACAAAGCAATTCCACAACAACGTGAGCTCATTATGCCGTCACGTTGACCCGGGTGTTTACAATTCCGTTAGGGATGTAACCACTTTCAAGCTGAATGTTACTACTTCTGCTGGGAACTTTGAGGTCCCCCGTTTCACATCTGGCATCACACTCGGGGGCAGACAATCAAAAATTATTGTCACCGATTACCCATTTGGCTCGTCATCGAAGGTTCTCTATTCTACAGCGCAGGTTCTTTTTGCTGGCCAGATTGGTGGAAGAGATGTACTGTTCCTCTACGGCGACCCTACATATGAGTCAGAGGTTGCTCTGACATTGAGTGGTACGCCTCGCATACAAGGGGCAGAACTCTCTTCAGTATCCTCTAATGGCGTCACTACCGTCACTTTCCTTCCGGGCATTCAAGGACTCATCACGATTTGGGATTCTAGTGAGCAGCTCGTCCTCTATAGTGATACCAACACCGCTGGAACCTTTTGGTCGCCCGAAATCCCTGCCAATGATTCCGTCGAGTTTGCCAACTATTGGCAGTTTGGCACGAATTCCTCTATCCTGGTCGGAGGTCCTTATTTAGTTCGCAATGCTACAATTAGTGGATCGACGCTCGCCCTTCGTGGCGACTTGAACGATAGCGTTCAACTTACAGTCATCGCGCCTGATGATGTGAAGACGGTTACATGGAACGGAATTCCTATCTCATCTGATGTTACCGCGGTCTTGAATTTGACCGCGCAAGGAGGCTTTGTTGCACAACTAAAGCCCTCATCCATGGTGCTTGGTTTTGCTCCACCCGCGCTTACAGATTGGAGATATGCAGACAGTTTACCAGAAATTCGCAGCGGATTTTCTGATGCCAACTGGACTCTTGCTAATCATACCACCACGAACATACCATTCAAGCCTTACTATGGCGACGGGAGGGTTCTCTATGGTTGTGACTATGAATAGTCAGTCATCGATTGATCTGCGTCATTTGCTATGGCTCACTGATTGACAGCTGCGAGAACATCGTACTTTGGCGTGGGCACTTCAATGCCACAGAAAATACACAATCCGTCAACTTTTCCATCAATGGTGGCGAAGGTGGGTCTAAAGGAGCGAAAGATTTCTGAATGCTGATTACGTCAACTAGCTTTCGCTGCTACTGTTTGGGTGAACGATGTGTTCTTGAACACATCCTATGGAAAGTAAATCATCATGGATATGATCTGGGGGTGTTACTAACCCCAGCTACATAGCTCCACAAACAACCAAAATATTCTGGAAGAAACGGATGATAAATTCTACTTCCCTCCGGAATCTTTGTTTTACGAGCGAGAGAACATCATTACTATCCTTCAGGTGTGATCTCATGTTTTAAGCCGTCGTCGTCACTGACGACAGAACTAGGATAATATGGGCCTCAATGAGTCGGGCTGTAAGCCACACGTTGAACTCAGACCGAAGTGATTCTGATGTTGACAACAATTTTAGCTGTTGTTGATGAAGAGAAATCCCCCCGTGGCGTCCGTGGTTTTATGCTCAATACTGGAGACTTTGGTGAATGGAAGGTTCAGGGTAAAGTCGGCGGATACACCAAGTGCGTTTTCCTTTTTCTGGCTTGTTCACCTCGTCAACTCAGGACGCCACAGTTATCTCGACAAGGTGCGAGGGGTGCTGAATGAAGGAGGTCTTTATGGTGAACGCATGGGCTGGCACTTACCTGGGTTTGATACCTCTTCTTGGGCACTGAGAGACCTCTCTGAGGGTCTGCCCAACGCCACCGCCGGTGTTGGGTTCTTTGTTACGACGTTCAACTTAAGCATCCCAGATGGATTTGATGTTCCAATGTCCTTTATGTTTGATGACACCTCTCAGCCGTATCGATCTCAATTATACGTCAACGGATGGATGATGGGTAAGAGGGTGTCCAACCTTGGGTATGCTTGGTACAATGTGTCATACAAACCGGGCTGATAGCAAGGCACAGGCCCCAGTACAAGTTCCCTGTCCAGCAAGGTATTCTGGACTACAATGGCACAAAGTACGATCCTTGATGTGACCATGAGATGATTACTGACTTCGTTATAGTACTGTTGCTGTCGCACTATGGGCTATGGAACCGAAAGCTGTCAGTCCAACTTTGCAGCTCACCATTGAAGGTGTTTACGAAGGCGGTGTCGGCGGCATTGAGACTAATAATCCTCCTTGGTCGCCTGAAGGACGGTCATAAGTCTAGAACACTCGGACAAGACGTTTTACTGTTATAATTACCATGTATCTGACACAGTAAGACCCTTGATGGCTTGAATCAAAGAAAAAAAGACACCAGTTCCCAATAAACTATGATCTATCCGAGAACTCGAAAATAGAATAAAATTCCCTTATAAGTATGATACGGAGATGCCATAATAATGTGTGCTTTGGACTTCTTTATAGACCGTCTCGAGTTGGGCACTGGTCATGTATCAGAATACGCCATAACATGTTCTAGCACACTGGGTAATAGTTTATTGAATGAGTTAGAGCTTAGTCAACAACTTTACAATTCAATAGAGGTAAACTTGAACCACCAAGGCGAGTCAGGCTGGACTAATACTACCGTACGTACAACCAGCGCTGGCTACCGTAGGCCGTGTTACGGGCATGTAACGGTGGCAAAGTACGGGAGTCATACCCGTACCTTCCGGGTCGTCTACGGTTACGATGTACGGTCATTCGAGGGATTTCCTTGCTGTGCGTCGTGTGACTTACCAGTGGCCCGGGTGTGGCAGCCGCATGCCTTCTTTCGATGTTGACACCATGAGCTAGCCTTTGAGGCCAACGTTAGACGAACAGATTCAAGCTGCCCGTTTGTTCGGTGGGATCCACTTGCGGTGGGATCCACGTGCAGGTCAAACCATTGGGGTCATTCGGGCCATTCTAAGGCACGTAGGTGAGTCATATGATATAATCCTGGCTGCATGGCGACCTGCTCATACTCACTACATAGACACAAACCAAGTTTTTACAGCAATCCTGAGTTGTCTGGCATTTTTGTGCTGCGGATGTACATGCACTGACAGACACAGATACTGCCAAAGCAACAACGACGGCAAGGAAACAGAAACGCATTTTCTGTGCGAGGTAGTATAGAATTTTTTGAGGGGGATTTCGAATGATATCTCTGAGGATGGGGGAACACTGTTGGACGACCAGCTTTTATATCCTTATGGGCGCGATTCTGATCGATTTGGCAGAATTGTTATTGCTGTTGGCGGAAATTTAGGTAGAACCTGCAGGAGCGGCGTGTTCAATTTGATTACGACCATTTCATGGCCTATTAATGTTATTGTTACTGAAACCCTAATGATGTGAGTTTTCCCGCACGAATTACCTATTTGAACCGTCTCTGAATCCGTTTCTTCGCAACGCCCCTCCCACTCTTTGCAATCTGGAAATCCAAATTGCTCCACTTATGCTACGCGTGTGCTGTTAGTAAACAACTATTTTTTCTGTGACCTGGCGTCCGCTGTCTCAGTGGTCGTGATGCTACTTCCCTTCGGTGTGTGCCATCACAGTGATTGATTGATACTCACACTAGCTACTGTAATTTTTCATCTCCCGTATTGGCCGACCATATGACCGTACGCCGTACCGCCGAGGGTATCGAGGACACCGTATGATATATGGTATGGTACGGGTAGTAACCATATGACTACCGTATATTGTATGGCCGTAACCAGATACAGTTACGGTGACCAGCCCTACTGCAATCGTTAGAGCAAAACGGTATGTATTAATGAGCGACGTACGTGAACAGGGTTTGGTGTGTCGTCAAAACAACCTCGGGGTAGCCAATGAGAGACCTTGATTGGCTGATGGACAGGAAGCATCAGCCTAGAATGCATAAGCCTTCAATAAAAGTCTCACGTGCAACGAGTATCAACTTGTCAACGCTTAGACTGGTCCAAAAGAAAGTCGACCAGGCCAGTTTCTCTTAGTATCGCATATACATCCCATGTGCACACATCGATGTTCTCGCAGCCGCTGAGTAGTAGCTGTCTAGGAATAAATCTGCCGAAAACGACACGCATTTTACTGTATCTGCATGGAGGGGCAAACTGATGGGCTGGCCGTTGTCGAGGTTCCATAATCGCGCTGTGTTTTCGCCGGATGCGCTAGTCAGGATACGGCCATTCAGTGATCATATACAGTGTGAAATGTCGGCGTGCCCTTCCAGTACTGCGATCTGCTTCCAGGTGGTAGTACTCCATCGGGGTGATCGTGTGACCCGGAGGTAAGCGTTTTGATCCAAGCCAAGCACCATACTCAATGTGTCCAAGTTTGAGAGTGACAAGCATACATTTGAATGTAGCGGTTACACACCGCACATCACTGTCCCTTGTCTATACGACTCACAATTTTGCTTTTGGTAGGGGAAGTTCATCCATAATAGCCTTCGGAAGCTCATATTGGATCCAGTGACCGATTCCGTCAAGAACTTTTACATTCAATCTCGCCACGTCAACAGGGACGTTCTCCAAATGACAAATAGCACCGAACTCGGGAATCAGACATCAACAAGGCGATCTTCACGTGAGGTGGGATGTTTTTCAATAGGCCTCTGAAAGAATATGGCCCGCTATGCTGATCACAGCAGTAGTAAATTTATCAGTGATGCTTCTGATTTCGACACAAAAAATATTACCTTAAATATCCCTTTGACGACAGTGCCATCGCACATATAGACTCCCAGTGCTCTTAACATGCTGTCGCCTCGAGACCAAGCAGGATTCTCAGCCATGTGTTCGTCAGCACATCTGACATGCGCAATCTCCTTCATAAACCTGATTTTATCTTCTTTGAATTGCTCCGCCGTACGTTCGAGGGAAGGATCGAGGAGTATGACAGTGGTTTCTTTCGTCTTGGGCAAGAATGGCAAGAGCAACAAGGTCACTAAGCCCCCCAGAGAGTGACCTATAATGATGTCGTAGGACATGTCTATGGCGAAATATGGTCTGAGGTCCTCTGCAAGGGTGGACACATGAGGGTCAGTGCACCGTCTCCAACCATGTCCGAGAAGATTCGGCGCGACGACAAAGAACCCTATATAGGTTGTTAAAATAGAGCATCATCACGATGATATTACAGACCCTGACCTTCTGCTACTAATAACTGAGCGATGCCCTCCCATGATTGCGAGGACATAGTCAACCCATGAATGAGCAAAGCGCGTTTGGAAGCGGTAGGGGATCCCCAGCGGGATGCGGACATGGACGTGCTCATACTCAGATGAGTTGTTTGGTTCTAGATATCTTTGCGAGTGGATGGGAACTGAGATGTTAAGAACTCATCAGCTCTGTCTTCACTTGGTGCGAGTACAGAGGGTGGAGCGTACCTCACAAGAAGAGTATCGTGACAGATCATAGTACGACCCCGATGCACTTGAATGGCTGTTGATATACTTGAGAGATACTTACAATGAGACTCGGAGGACGGCCCGCACCTGAATGTGTTGGGAAGCCACCAATGACCTGTGTGCGCTCGAAACGGATGATGACGTGTCTGCCAGATACAAAAGTGGAGCATGTCGCTCAACAAGCGAAGAAACGTTGGTCCCATGAGAAAAACATGGCATCTTATACTCATAGCTCTTCTTCGCAAAGTTATGATCCAAAGATAGGGCTGTCACTTTCACATCAGTGTCATCTCGCCAATTTTATCGACCAATGTGGATTAGTACTCACTACTGGTATCGTGCAGGCAGCACTGGATCGGGTACATAGTTTGTCCAGATGTGGCACCATGTTGATATCGTGTGCATTAGACAGACCGTATAAACGAATGAAGGCCGCATAGTCGTTCTCTGAATCAGATCATCATGCATGATGTTCTGAAAAAGGTGTATAATGGCAGTGTAAACAAATACTACACAAAAGCTTACTGCCAATCAAGGAACAGGGACCTGTTATATCACTTGGAAATTGTTCGGCTCCTACAGCGAGGTACGAGCAAAACTCAGTAAAGACCTCGCTCACCGCTTAGCAAGCATGGATAGCTAGTCTAAGGGGAGACTCGCGAATGCCCTGCACGTACTCATTTGTTGTGCTCCATGCATTGTTAGCTGAAAAAAATGGCAAAAAGAAAGTCAACCTTTGAAAGGTTACATGCTCAGGTCAAGCTGAGAGCTGAAAAATTGGCTATGCGACATTAAAGCGAGGGCAGCCCACGGAACGCCCTAGTAAAAGGCGAGGGCGTTGTCTGCTTGAGTTACCCTCTGTCGCTATCCTGTTAAGGAAATCTCAAGATGGCGCTAACAAAATTTTGCATTTTCTTTGGTAGACGGGTTTTCTTCCCATGCCCATCTTGGGAATCGTCAACAATTACTCCTCAAACGACTACTCATCGCCATCGAGAACACTCTTGTCATCATGGCTGATGATGAACTGTCGCTCCTGGTATCAACAGGCCTACAGACCCTCCTGACTTCAGGCAGAATCTCAACGCCATTAACTTCAATGGATCTCCTTTTGGCTCTCATATCCTCCAGGCCATCCACTTCCGCCGCTCCAGGCCTCACAATACCACGTCTAACTGATCTAGCCCGTGTAGAAAAGGTACTCGAGGCCCTCTCATCGAATTGGGATCATGGCTCCATCCTACTGTCCCATGAAGGCGGCGAGTTGTACATTACAGATGTCCATCTGGGAAATCCCCATGTTCTTGAGGCTATCAATCCTCGGAAGCGCAAACGAGCGCCCATAGACGAGGATGCGGACTCCGCTGCTGGTAACACACCTGATGAGATCTCGTCATCCAACGGAGAAAATGATTCTTTCATTTCTATGAACACTCCCTTAGGAAATTTAAGTAAAGACTTGAAGGAGGTCTACGCAATCCTTCAGAAGAGCACGGCAAAGGGCCGGCTACTTGCGGAACGTGTACGTGTACTATCGATATTCATGTGCTGCGTTTTCTTGAACATTCAGCACTAGTTTCGATCTTTCAATGGTGGGTTTGAACCGATCTGTACCTACATTACCAAAGTAGAGTGCGCCAAATATCGCTCCGAGGCTGATCCTTCCAATCCGCCTAATCATCCCTTCTGCAACCTCTTGCACTTCCGCCCTCTCATTCGACCGCACACAGACCCCAGCCTCGGACATTGCTCCTACCTCAACACGTGTTACTCTGAGCCGACATACTCACAATCACCTTCGATTACTCCTTTTCCTCCTGGTACAGGGGCACGCGTGTCATTGCCGTCTGGTCTCGGTGCAGGTGGCAGGGGAAAAGAGAAAGCGCCATGTCGGTATTTACATTTCGAGATTGATTGGGACGAGAAGGATGGGCCCCTTGCTCCGGCTGATGCATGGAAAACTCAGAGGTTAAAGAGACCTTTCAAGATTGAACTGGGGATGGGCCCTGATGGAAGAGACATGCAAGTAGTAAGTGCGGTGGATGTATCTCGGCATAGTAGATGCTGACATTATTCGGCCAGCTTCCTCCTCAGTGGATCAATTGTGACCTGCGCCGTTTTGATTACTCAGTGCTAGGAAAATTTCACGTTATAATGGCAGACCCACCATGGGATATACACATGAGCGTGCGCGTCTTATAAGACCATTCCACCGTACGTGAGTCTGAGTGAATTTTGAATAGCTTCCGTATGGCACGATGACGGACGATGAAATGCGTGCCATGCCGATACCGACACTCCAGGACGAAGGATTGCTCTTCCTTTGGGTCACCGGGCGTGCAATGGAAGTTGGTCGGGAATGCCTCCGAGTATGGGGGTACACTCGTGTCGATGAAGTAGTTTGGGTTAAGACTAACCAGGTACATGCCTTATAAACCCTCTCAACCCTTCTATTTACTTATATCCAGTAGCTCCAACGCGTGATCCGCACTGGCCGAACAGGCCACTGGCTCAACCACACGAAAGAGCACATGCTTGTCGGTGTCAAAACTCACACAGATGCTGCGGGGAACCTCATTTTCCCCTCCTGGGCGAACCGCGGACTTGATACTGACGTTATCGTGAGCGAGGTGCGCGAGACGAGTCGCAAGCCAGATGAGGTGTACGGGCTGATCGAAAGGATGTGTCCTGGCGGGCGGAAGATTGAGATTTTTGGAAGAAAGCATAATACGCGACCTGGGTAGGTGGCAGCGAACGATGTCATATGATATGGTGTACTGACGATGATGCTCTGCAGGTGGCTAACGCTTGGGAATCAGCTGGGTCAGGACCAGATATTTGAGGAGGATCTAGCAGCACGGATCATGGCGAGATACCCAGAACGTTTTATGTCTGTGTCTGGTCAAGCTATGATCACTAGATAGTCCTATGCATTTTTCTCAATGGCAGCCTTCGGTCGGGTATCACTCAATGCCACTATTAGGTTGGCTTCTTGGCAAGTCTTACCCTGGTATTTCACACGGTACGCACTTCTCTATCATAATTTTAAACACAGATTACATCCAACCATGCTACCCACTCTCGTGTTTCGCAAGCATTTGTATGATCCATGGCGCGTCTACGTCCCCCAGTTTTTATCTGCAACCATTATACGCTTACTATTGATCATCCCCGAATAAGCAAATTCGCGAGCTGCAGCTGATGGGGCCGGGTTTGCTGTCGCTTCTCCTGTCAACGCATGTCAAATTGTGGCAGCCTGAACCTCGTACGTACCCATCCTTCTAATTCATTTTCATACTCAATCTCCGTCTCAAAGTTCAGCGTATTAATCCCTTTCCTGTCAAATAATCTCCCTCAGACTTTTCATCCAAGAAGGCGAGCTCTCTTATTTACGGTTTTACATACACTTTCCTGATTATTGCCATACCTAGTCCCTTTCCTAATCCGAACCTCTTCAACCAACCAAGTCCTTGAACACATCTAAGCTATCTGAGTGTGCTCATGTCCCATTCAGCGTCCCAGTGGGGTTCTCCTGCCGCTTCCAGGCGGGCTCTTCTCATTCATGGCATGACTATGTGCTCGAATTCGTGGGAGGGTATCGCTCAACTGCTGGTAGCAGAAGGTGAGTCAGGTGTAATACTTTAGTGATGAGCTTTCTAACAGACGACCAGGTTTCTTCGTTATAGCACCGAACCTCCTTGGGCATGGAGGGAGACGGTGCACCGATTATCGGATATCTGACTTTGCAGAAGACCTCCGACCATATTTCGCCATGGACACGTCCTACGACGTGATCATTAGTCATTCTTTTGGATGCCAAGTGAACTTGTCGCTCTTGCCGTTCTTGCCCAAAACGAAAGAAACCACAGTCATACTCGTTGATCCTCCCCTCGAGCTTACAGAAGTGCAGGTCAAAATGAATCAGAATCTGTTTTTAGAGTTGACGACGAACGTCAAAACTGCGGAAGAGTACATGGCTGAGAACCCTGCTTGGTCACGACGTGACTGTGTGTTAACAGCGTTGGGAATAGCGATGGTTGATCCCAACACTGTCGAGGTTTTTCGGGTAATATTTCAGATGTTGAAATTGAATGCGTTGCTGACAGGTTCTGCCTTCGCATTGGACAGCGAAACACATCATGGTCTTCCATTGCACTCAAAAACGTACCACCTCACGTCAAGATCACCATTCTGGTATCAGATCCGAAGCTCAGCGCGAATTGTCTCTTGGAGCACATCCCCCGTGACATCGAGAGATTGAATGTTAAACTCCTTCCTGGCATCGGTCACTGGATTCAATACGAGTGTCTGGATGCCATTATGGATACAATTCCCCTACCAAGAACAAAATTGTAAGCTGTGTAGAGAAGGGATGGTGTTCTGCAGTGTTATTTTTGTTTATGACGATCGCATTCGATCATGTATTTATTTCTCAAAACCCCTTGTTGTTCCTGATACCCTGAGGCATGTCCCCATCTAACTTTCTTTAACTAGTATGCATAGTAGGCCTTGGTTCGACCCACTGCGCGCGAGCAACTGATCTGAATGCCGACTCAAGAGTACGCGGTCGGCACGATTGTTAACGACTTAGACACGTCGTCACGGATCCTAGGATCGGGTTTGCTGTTCGACGCCTGAGCGGTGCAGACTGCTTTCCTTTCATCAAATAATGTATTGTTTCGTGGCACCTCTCAATAGTGATTTCATCGGCGTCTTGTGGTTATTCCAATCAGAATATGCTGTACACCCTTTAAACCCCCGCCATTTCCTACGCGCTGGGCATTTCAGTACCCGCCAGGCTGGTCCCGAGCCAAGTGACCTACCTTGAATGCCATCTCCTCTGAACGTCGTTATTGTACATTAAGCGCGCTGAGATTTTTTACTGCGTGCACAACTGCACAACCCGCAAGCGCTTGAAATACTTTTTACTACAAAAATCAACTTCCCAGCCCGCTGTTCGTACATTTTGCTTTCGAAACGTCGTTGACATTCATTAAATATTTTCTCGCTGCCCGGTGACAGAGTAGCCGCCCGAGTATTATTGCTCCTAGTATTACTATTAAAGCCACAATCATTTGATCAAGTATTTATCAACCTCTGACCTCACTATGACCACTGTTCCATCTGCAAGTCAGTGGGGATCCCCTACTGCAAACAAGAGAGCACTCCTTATACACGGTTTAAATTCGTCTTCGCACACTTTCCACCGTGTTGCATCGGCGCTTGCAGCCAAAGGCTAGTTTTCTTCGCTTGAACATTTTGATAGCGCTTATCTTTTGATTCTGACACCTTAGAATACTTGGTGGTTGCTCCAAATCTTCTTGGACATGCTCTCAGGAACATTGGAGTTGACTTCAAAGTCCAGACACTGGCAGATGACCTCTTGCCGTACCTTCAAGCTGCCGAGTATGATATCGTCATCGGCCACTCAGTGGGTGCACTCGTGGTACTATCGCTTCTCAAGTACCTGCCAAAAACTAAACCTACTTCGGTGGTTCTTATCGACCCATCGCTGGAAATAACTGCAGAGCAGATGGTGAATGGGAGAGTCAGGTTTTCCACCGATGTCAGAACCAACCCCACTGCAGAAGATTATATAGCATTGAATCCTCTATGGACGAGAGAAGATGCTATCTGGAGAGTGTTAGGGACCCAGATTGGAAGATCAACCAACTCCGATGATCACATCGATGTCAGTGTTTGTGTGTGGTTTTCTAGAATCGACAGTACTGATAGTTTGAACTGCTTCAGGGTAACGTGCCGTGGTCATTTTCGCATCTGATCGCCGACAAGCCCGCTGCTGCCGCATTGACGATTCTGGTTGGCGAACCTTCCAAGCTCGAGTCCATTGCAAAATTCAAATATGTTAGAACGGTGCTCTTTTCAAATGCCTCGCACTGGATTCAGCATGAATTCCCAGAAGTGATTGTCGAAGAGGCGCTGAGGAATATCCAAGAGTAGAACATTTGGGCTTGCATGGTTCCAATACTAATGCAATCAATCATTGCAAATTACCTTGATGTTACGAAAAAGAAAGGGACGACGAAATCGGAAAATCTGCTGCAAAAACGTGAAAATAGCAAGCTATAAGACCCACGGTAGCACCCCAGATTCTCAGCCAACTTTAAGCCATCGGAATTTTTGGACAACTCACAGTGACTGTGCAACCCGCGCCACCTACTCTTGTTCCCAATGATCTCCAAATTCAACCCCAACTGCTTAGTCTTACATAGGCGACCACCCCAGGAACATATTCCCAGTCAAGATTGCATCGACGGACACTGTTGGTGACCTGAAAAGAAAAAGAAGCCTGCATTTCGCGACCTGGCTGCAGACGCTCTCCAAGTGTGGAAAGTAAGTGACCTGATACCTACAATCAGATGCTGACGATCTGATACTTTGGAAGGTCGACCTACTTGTCGACGACACCCTCGAGCGTAATCATCTCGACGAGCTCGAACTAGATCACAAGAAACCATTATCACCTGTGGATGGAATGTTCGAGGTTTTTGACAGTCCTCCTCAACATAAGCACCTGCATATTGTTGTGCGGCATCAGTAAATTACCAATGTTGCAATACCACTTTTTTTCCCTCTCTATATGAATGGGTCCTACATCGAGGTTGGCTGTTAACGCATATTTGCGACTTCAACGCGACGGCGGTGGAGGTCCATAAGCACCATATGGTGCTCTAAGATGCAATCGGCCAGTGCTTTTTGTGCCTGACAAACTTTGCGTCTCGTAGAAGGTAAACTTGAATGAACGTTACCTTTAATCAGAAAACTCAAAGCTCATATATGCAAGCGCTCACGACTTTTCCTTGAATTTAAGTTTCATGGCATTCAGCCTGGTGTCCTGGGCGTCTAACGAGAAGCTTGAGGCTTGTGGAGCAGCACCGAAAGCATGGTACATACCTGTGCAGCTTGAATAAAGACGCCCACAAGCTCTAGGCCTTCGGGCTACAGCAATTCGATTTCGATTGCGCTTGAGCACCAAACTTCCAGTAGAATGGCAAGAGCAACCCAGCTCATCCAGTCTAACATTATGATGATAAATAGCGTCATGACAGTCGCAGTCTTTCGTAGTGGACGCCATATGGACCGGTATGGTGGCGGGTCGGGAGATACCAAAGAGGACTGGTCGCTGAAATTTTCTCTAGACGGCGCATTGCTCGCGAGTGGTTCGCTACCATGAAGTTTTGGTCAACTCTCGTGTTCGGTATTCCCCGTACGTCTGCCGTCCGGGTGAACATCATCGGCAAAACCGAGGTGATCAACTCAGTGAGCTCACTACGACTACCATGACCACTGTCCCGTCTGCAAGTCAGTGGGGATCCCCTACTGCAAATAGGAGAGCATTCCTCATACATGGTTTGGATTCGTCTTCGCACACGTTCCACCGTGTTGCATCGACGCTTGCAACCAAAGGCGGGTCTTCTTCGCTCAAGCCTCATTACAGCACTGATATATTGTCTATATGACGATCATAGGATATTTGGTCATTGCTCCGAATCTTCTTGGACATGCTCTCAGAAAGCCTGGAGTTGACTTCAAAGTCCAGACACTGGCAGATGACCTCTTGCCATACCTTCAAGCTGCCGAGTATGATATCGTCATTGGCCACTCAATGGGCGCGCTCGTGGTACTATCGCTTCTCAAGTACCTGCCAAAAACTAAACCTACTTCGGTGGTTCTTATCGACCCATCTCTGGAAATAGCTGCAGAGCAGATGGTGGATTGGAAAGCCAAGCTTTCCGACCATAGCAGAACTAACCTCACCGCAGAAGATTATATGGCATTGAATCCTCTATGGACGAGAGAAGATGCTATCTGGAGAGTGTTAGGGACCCAGATTGGAAGATCAACCAACTCCGATGATCACATCGATGTCAGTGTTTGTGTGTGGTTTTCTAGAATCGACAGTACTGATAGTTTGAACTGCTTCAGGGTAACGTGCCGTGGTCATTTTCGCATCTGATCGCCGACAAGCCTGCTGCCGCTGCATTGACGGTTCTGATTGAAGATCTGCGATTTAATGGCGCTTTGAAGCTGGAAACTGTCGCAAAACTTAAAGACATCAGAGCCGTAATTGTTCCGAATGCCTCGCACTGGATACAGTATGAATTCCCCGAAGTGATTGTTGAAGAGGCGCTAAGGAATATTGAAGGATAAGACGATGGTCAATTAAGACTTCTATGTTTCGACTACCATTACCCTGATGTAGAACAGCACAACCCTGAATAAAACATAGCTTTAATCGAAGAAAACTTCTGCATCTTCATCCCATCCCAATGTCTCTGTAGCGATCCCAAGCTGTCGGAGCATCGTACCCATGGTGTTCCGTGTTTGTTCATCATCTTCTGAAAGGATCTTGTTGGTATAGCCTTCGTCCAAGGAATTCTCCATAGCAGTATCCATCTCGTTCTCCGGATAGCCTTCGCGTTTGATTCCAGGGGAGTCCCAACCCCAGTTCGAGTCCCGTGAGCCCATCTTGCCCCTACCCCCGTCCCAACTAACACCGTCTCCCTTGTTCGCAGAACCTTTCACCAAATCCCAAAGCTCATATGCGACCTCCCTGCCTGCCTCCGTCCATTTCTTGATGAGCCTGATGAGTGTATTTTCCTCATCGTCCTCCTTCGCTTTGACAGCGCGCTTAAGAAGTTGTAATTTTCGTTCTAGAGACTGGACTGTAGGTGTCAGTCGAATCGATGATCCTCTTCCGGACGACGTTGAAGCAGAAATGCTTAACGGAGATTTGAATTGTGACGCCGCTTTGAGAGTGCGAACTCTGGTCTTAACTGGTGTAACAGACGGAGCTACATGGACACGGCGATTTTTCTGAGGTGTGAGTGGTATTTTCGGAGCTGGCGGTGGTGCGGGAATAATCGACAAAGGGCTCTTGGACTTTAAAAGTTCCCCTGATGGCGCACCCTCATCCTTGTTCGGCATCAAAGGTGAACGAAACGGAGTGATGAGTTTCTGGAACTGCCGTTGCTGAAATGCCAAGGTGGCGCGCTTTGGAGCTGGTGGTAGATATGCTTTACCATCGTGCGTTTTCTGCAAGTAAACTCGTATAAATGATAGCACGTCGTCGACAAGAAAAACCGCTCTAACTACCATGCGTTTAGCCAACCGCGTATCTTCTGGGCTTTGTGATAGGTTCTTGGCACGCAGACCAAGGACACCAATCTAAGCATATATTTTTAAGCCGTTGAAACCGACAGAGCACTCTACCCCACCTCTCCTTCCGGCCTGGGTCGCTTCTGCGGCAATGGTTTAACTTCCTGAATGTTGGAGGCGCCCTCGTTCGTTTTTGGGCTTCCGCCATGGACGGCGAGATCGTGGGACTCATGCTATAATCCATGTAATTGATCATAACCGGGCTTCCGAAGAAAACAACACAAACCATTTCTCGCTGTTGATATGTGTCAGTATCATCATGATCGTTATATGCTTCCTCTAAGGTATCTGGGTAAACACCATCCGGAGAACTGATGAGATCCTGATCGTCTGATTCCATTCTCATAGCCTGAAACTTGTCAGCAGATACACAAAGAAAACACGGTGCATATACCCTGTCTGCAACTTTGTAATCTCCAGTTTCGACGAGCGACGACTGAGATGATGCGAACGGGGACGAAGAAAAAATCTGGGGAGGGCTGGAGCTGGGAGGCAAAGAATACGACCGTGCGTTGTCCGGTGAGGTGTTCGACGGCGCTTCGTCATCTACTTCACGTGACTGAAGGCGAGGTGATTGAACTGTCCCAACACTATACTGGAAGCGAATAATTTGTAGGTCGCTTGTGCTGTTCAATTCAACATGCGGAGTACCTCTCCGTGATATAAAAGGAGAGAGAGATGCATTCAGGGTCTGTGCGTTATCTTAGTTGGCTCAGATAACAGCAAATCATATAAGCCTACTTTATCTGTTTGAAGAATCCCCTCGTTGGCGGTAATTCCGGACATTGCTGATGTATTTGTCACGGGCTCTGCGACGTGAATCGAAGAAGATCATAGGTCATTGTAAAGTTAATGCTCCTCAGTAGTATTGGCAGAGACAAATTACCTATATTATGTTCGGAATCCTTCAGGTCACTCGACTGTAGTAGTGGAGCAGAGAGGTCAGGAGGTAGCTGCGATACAAACGACTCTTCAGCCAACTGTGCATACATATGGACCAATCAGCACCAATAAGTCAAGTACAGGTGGGCTATATGCTTGCCTGGTGGTCCTCTGAAGGTGGCCTTTCCTGCGAGCATAATGGGTCGATGAGGACCTGGGTGTATGCGCATGGTGTCGCGCCAATTTCACCATGTGCGTCCCTGAAAGCGACAGTATCAGCACTAAGTCCTGTCACCTGTTGTTCAGTATTTGTCTCCATATCTGAAACAATGAAATGTGTAGCTGTAGGATAATGAGCACCGCACTTAGTGAGTGAATGGTCAAGAGAGAGGTCAGGGACCGCGTCTCATCAAGACCACGAGAGTGGTCACGTGCTCATAAAGTAGTCAGCTATATTTGGATCACATGATTCACATGCTTGCACTGTGTAGCACAGAATATCGAAAATAAAGTGTGGAGGTTCTTTTAACAAATGCAGATAGGACTACTTTCGCACAGAGCGGACACGTGGATCACCCCGTTCTGAGCGTTTTCGTAATTTTTCTTGCCTTTTGCTGACCGTTTCCTTCTCGCCACCCCCTTCCGCGGCCTGAGAGCTCGCACCACGGGACCAACCGAGCATTGGCCCAATAAAGTTACTCCATAGTTTGGATGCGGCGTACAATGGGATCTAGTAAAGCAAGAGCAATTTATAACATGTCGTGAGGCCACACAGGCACTCACCACAAGGTAGAACCACCAAACCCAATCACCGAATGCCCCACTGCCGATCTGACACGCCCCTAGACATATAAACTATGTGTTCAGCCAAACCGTTAGATTGACATCAACTCACATGTGACATAAAGTATATCGAAACACCATTCTGTTACTCCTGGTTGATTAAGGTCTTCTCCGGGAGAGATGAGTGCTCCAGTTGTTGGGTCCCGTCTTGTAGTGCCCATCCTTTCAAGATAGCGTGAAAGGAACAAGGCAGGGAGATATGTCACAACGTAGAGTGCCAGCGAGCCCTTAGATGGAGGAAGAGAGCTTCGCCGGAATAAAAGACGGAAGACTGCAGAGAGGAGGGTGGGGATGAACATTCCAAGCCTCAGATTTCGGAGAGCCTGTTCATTCTGTAGCGCTGAAAATTTTGTATGTTTTCAAAGAGAACTGTGGTTGTATGGTGAAATCGTACCAATTCGTTTAGCTGCTCCGTGAGCCATGATGGTGGATGGCCTGCAAGCGTACTGAACCCAATTTGTGCACGCGTCCCTATAATTTCAAATTAACTTTAGCTCCGAGTCGCACGTCAACTTCGCATCTCGAACTTACAGTTATGTCGCAGACAAACTGCACAGAGGTAGTGAGAGAGGCCGTCCAGGCTAACAAGGACCACCAACACGCCTTGAAAGTATACACGGAAAGACTTGAGGCAGAGCTTCAAACTGTCGACAAACTCCTGGTATGTCGTATTCTGCATATTTCGCACTTGGTTTCAATGATAACTTCTAGGAACCTGCTGATGCTAATCTGGACGGCGAGCCAGACATCGATGTCGGAGGCTCCATCATCATTCCAGGCTCCGTCAAGGCATCTGGACTCTTGACCCCCAGTGAATTGCTTTCAGAAGTGAGAATAGCGCCCATTTGTTCCTCTACTACTGAAGATTTCCCCTAGGACTCTCCCTTTTACGAAGAGGCTGCGCGGCGCAGTCGATATCTAAGCTTGACAGAGGTTCATCCCAGTGCGTTATTCGACCCATTACGCTACTTATCTCCCTAATTCGTAGCTGCAGTGACCAAGAAGGACCTTGAGGCTCTGAGAGAAGCTGTGAGGACCGAAAACTACCGCATGCATGCTCTAGATGCTCAACGAAAGTTCGTCTTGCTCTATGTATGATATGATCTTATCAACTTCTCTCTCAGAGGCAATCCTGTTTTTACAAGTTTGAGTAATCAACCGTCAAACTATCTCGAGTTGAACAAGGAGGGCCTTGATTGGGATCGTATCGCGGAGAAGGTATGTTTCATAATATCATATCCACAACTACCTGTTAACTCGCGTGTGCCAGGTCTCTTCATCATCCATGTATACGCGTACACCAAGAGAGTGTGAGATACGCTGGTTGGGTGATCAGCATCCATGTTTCAATCATGGCCCTTGGACACAAGACGAAACCACCAGACTCAAAGGGCTCATCGCCGAATACGGGGACGAGCAAATAGACTGGGAGGTCGTGGTAGATAAACTCGGGGTATGTCTACTTTTTGAACTAACATAAAACGTGTGATAATTCACACATAACAGACCCACCGAACGCCTCTAGACTGCATGATACACGGCACAACGCGAAAAATTCATTTGTGGACACCAGATTCTGACGAGCGTTTATTAAAAGCTGTTGCTACTTTCGGTCACGATAACTGGTCTGTAGGTATGTGTCTTGCAACATTGCGCTTTTGTATCCACATTCATCAAATCTACTGCACAGTCGCCTGTCAAGTCTCAGAAGATGCTACCCCTAGCCAGTGCCAGAATCGTTATCAACGCACTCTTGACCCTACTCTGAAGCACAAAGCATGGTCTGATGAGGAGGACTCACGCCTACGTCTCGCAGTCCGAGCGTACGGCACTTCCTGGGTGAATGTCGCATCCGCCATCCCAGGTCGTCATAATGATCAGTGTCGTGATCGTTGGAACGATATCCTCAACCCTGCGATAACCAAAGGGAAGTGGACCGAAGAAGAAGACCAAGATCTTTTGGCCATAATACAACAAATAGGGACTTCGAGCTGGAAGGAGATCAGCAATCGACTAGGCAGCGGGCGCACCGATAGCATGGTAACATTCATCGCTTCAGAGGCCTATGTTTCTTTTTCATTTATTTTGCTTTAGTGTCGAAACAGGTACAATAATCTCCAACGGCCGAAGACCTCGCAACCAACCAAAACACAATCTCAAATAGCAACTTTCAGCGTCATCGCTCAACCCTCAATGGACATGGTCGCAGAGTCATCTCGAGCAGCATCTCGAAAGAGAAAAGCACCCATCTCTGCCGATGAGTCCACTGAGGTGAATGAACTGGTGCCCATCGAGGAGTCAAGTTCTATGCCCAGACTTCCAGGTATTCATGTGACCACAAGGACGACTGATTCGGCCATAATGTTCCTTGAACCGGTCATCAGCGTCAACCCTGAAACTCACAAGAAACGCACTCGAGAAGTTCTAGGGATGACCAAGAGCAAGAGCCATGAGAAGGCGAAGGCGAAGTCAAAATCAAAATCAAAATCAAAGTCAGCGGATCCTAACGCTAGCACCACCCCTGAGAGCGCTGGCGACATATCAACGTCTACCAAAAAAGTGGGAAAAAGGAAAAAGGTTGATGTAGAATCCACATTAAAAGAAATTCCAGCCAAGAAGGCTCCTCGTCCTAAAGCCCGGCCTGTTCGCAGCAAAAAGAATGCCGCGCCTGGCACCATGGTTTTAGATCTAGGGCCTCCTCCTGTTTCAGGTACGTACCCATGCTACCATGTTGTCTCAAGATCTTGACTCCCTCTACAGGAGATAATAGCGGGACTGGTGATCAAGCCGGGCCGAGCACTCTAGGTCCTGGAGTCCCCGGACTTGTGGTCCAGTGTTGTCATATCAGTGAATTAGGCTTAAGACCACCGTCGCCATCGAACCGAATGGGATAGGTGCTCCTGAATGTTGAGGTTTCATAACGATGTCTTGCTTTTCGTTCGAGTGTCGGTGGGTGAGCCTGAAATAATATAATACATGCATAGAAGGTATTTCAACCGTGAAATCGTATATTACGGTTCATTACTCGACGCTCCGTACTTGTGTGTGTGTGTCGATCAATATCTAGCTCCTGGTCAGCCCACTAATATATTCTACCTACTGGCACCAAGCCCGTCCATCAGTACAAGGACGGGAACATCACGAGACTGCTAGCACTGTGTCCCCTGTAACTGTGCTGAAGGTCAGCACGATACTCGTCAACTTTGTGCTTTAATAACTGACCCTGGATATTTTGCATATATACACTGCCGGCAATCATCCCAGTTTCTTGTACAATCCCTACACATGGGGGACGCACAAGTTTTGCACGAATGCCCTGCCTCAGTCCATCTACACCGATGACAGTAGTAGCGACCACAACTGGAGCACCTCGATAAACTGGGTACGCAGTCATCGCAGATATGGCGACGGCATATCCCGCACTTCTCAGTAAACCGTGGACACGAGAGTTGAAGCTGTTCCGTATCGTTCTCCTCTTCGATGCAGTCATCACACAGCCTTGTCCTACTGCAAACTGTACAACTCTGGATGTATGCACACCAGTCCTGGCAATATACAACTTTGCAACTTCGGCATTCGATGAACGGCGTCCCGGATGGGTCACCTGCGCAGGGTCCACACAGCCATGTCCGTGAACATGCGCATGTACGTCCTCCTGGTTCACAGTCTGAGCAGACCATGTCTCGGAAGCGATTGCGATTACGGGACCAACAGTAAACGTTACCACAGCGGCGCCACGCTGAAGCATGGTCCTGGCGGATGCAGTTCCGACAAGGAGCGATCCTTGGAGGGTGCTCGTGGCTAATCGACTGGTGGTCGTCCTCATTATCTGGGTCTCTGATAGGAATGATGATTTCAAATGCTGTGTGGTTAGGTATAGGGGTCCACTGAGCGTCGCCTTCAGGCCGTCCAACACACCAGCTCAGTGACTCCATGCAATACCACTGAGAGCATATTGGACACTGGCCAGTTTGAGGTGTTGCGCAGGGAATGCAAAAGAACTCTCGGTCGTGGTAAGAGCATCCCACGACAGAGACGATGGAAGATGCCTTGCAGCTTGAGTTCTCGCACGCGTGTATACCGCAGACGCGGCATCGGATGAGGTCGTGGGAACACAGTGGGCAGGCAGTAGTGGGGGCATCACGTTCCAGCACCGCTGGATCTACAAGGTCCAACTCCACAAGATGGTGCAAGAAAACCTAAAGGATATGATATTACCACGGAGGCTTCAGGATTCTAGGATCACCAAGGAATATCACGAGCATCGCACTTACGATTGCGTTCTCTCTGCAACGTTCATGTTCTTGCTTCCTCTTAATCTCTTGCTCCTGCCTTCGTGATTCTTCATCCTTCTTCCACTCATTCACTTGTTCGGTTATGAAAACTTTCAATGCGTTTTGCACGCCCTTGTCTGCGGGTAAGGGAAAGTCTGGGATGCCCTCGGAACCCTGGGTGACATCCCTTACCACCATATTATTGAGATCAACTGAGAAGCATATGGTCTTCTGGCGTGACAAGGGATCGAGCCTGGAAAGATGAAGACCGGAATGTTCCAGGACACCAGTGGTAGCATTCAAAATAGCAAGGAAGGACGAGTGCGAGGGTAACATCTCATCCGGAGTGACTACACCGTCTATGCTATCGCGACTGGCGAGAGCTCTTGCAATCTCCACAATCTTGGGATAGATCGGGTGGCCAGCTCCGACATGGCGGAACTGCATGGTGTTCAGTTTATGGATTGTGATGTTGATGACCGGAGGTGGCATGTTGGTAGTCGGAATGATGGGAGCGTACTTTTTTACAGACGACTGATCATTCACATAGTTCGGACATTTTGTCGGACACTGGATGCTAATATTATTAGACTTCACGCGTCATGAAGTAACCTTTAAATTTGCCTAACGTCATGGAGTAAGATGGAAACAATCAAGGAGTCATGACAAAGACCAGACCCGCCCAAATAGATTATTGGATCGGCACAAAAAGCAGGACTAGACGCCCACAAGGCCTAAGTATATGCGAAATCAAATGGTTAAGCAGAAACTTTCCAACGTTTTCGTGGGTACGTGGAGGCTTCCCAGTTAACAATATGACCCAGCAATTCGCCATCTTCTTGCCCGAGATTATCCTCTGTTGCTGTGAGCAGATTCTTTAATGACTCCTGAACCAGCCCTGCAGTCTTGAGTTTCCTTTCGAGTGAGGGAAGCGCGGCTTTCTTAGGGGGAGAGGCCTTTGAAGAACAAGGTCAGTCGATATACCAGAAGACACAAAGATGGGCTCACTGGTGTTCTGAGATATGTATGCTTCGGTGGCAATGCGGGGAAATGGGTCGGAAGCTGACGTAGAGTCCCTGGCACAACGGGCGGCATATTCTCGTCATCTGAAGGAAGGAGTTCGGGCGACTGCGATCGTGAAGGTGGCATTTCAAAAATTGGTTCGGCTGGTTCAGCTTAATCCACAGTCAAACCTCCAAGTTAGCATGGTTCAACATTACGTACCAGAAGCTTTTGTAAATTCTGCAGCGACTGTGCGTAGATCCTTTGTTTTCAAATCTCGCTCTTCGCATGCCATTAGCATGTCCTTTGCTATCGGTATTGCGCGATTGGCAAGATTAGCGTACTGGTGGGCGCGTTCATATAGATTTTGAATGACTGCTCTCTGAGGTGTGAGCTCGATAATTAATAGAATGAAGGGCTGCGTACAGGTTACGACTTCTTTCTCTAGTCTCTTCAATGCGGGGGGTTCTATTGAATCATATTCTGAGGTCTGTAGCTGGGCAAGGATGAGCCGTTGCACTTCTTTGGAAGCTATTTCTGGAGAGATATCCGGTATGATCTCAGCGACTGCCACGCTTGGTTGGCGCGGAGGCTGGACATGAAACTGATAAGTCGAGGCTGCCGCTGCTGCTGCTGCTGCTGCTGTTGGGGGCGGCGGCGGGAATCGATGGGGATAATGCGCTACCGCTGGCTGAAGCAGCTGTGGAGGTCCTGAACCAGTTGCATATACAATAGGATAAGGCTGTTGATAGGTCCCATAGCTTTGCTGATATGGAACGAAATTTGACATGGTAGTAATGGAAAGTCAGATTGGTCAATGATGTTCACACGTCATGCTCACCCCTGTAGTCATCATTTCCCCAGGTTCATACTTAGCTACGACCGCATCACGACCTTTGGTTTATATGCCGTGCGTGGCCGTGCGCTACCGATAGTCCGCACTTGTGCAGCTCTCTTTCTCTCATGTTCGCCCTACTAATTTTTCTGTTTAATCTTTTCAAAATGGGCGATGCAACCGGAGAGATCACATCTTCTCCGAACGTGCCAGACTCCAGTAAGGATTCCGCGGGGCCCGATGGAGTCCCAGACGAGTCTTTCCGCACGAGTAGGCCAGACATCGTTGGGTCTGACGTTCCAGATGCCCCGTTTCCAATTAAATTGTCAGGCCCAGTGCAGCATGGATTTGGTAGAGGGAGCAAAGACCTCGGATGTCCAACTGGTATGTTCCCAGACTGAATCTTGATCGAACCAAATTCACGGGTATGAACTACAGCGAATCTTCCTGACGATTCCCTCCCACCCATGATCGATGCAGGGACAGGAGTCTACTACGGCTATGCCCAGGTTACCCCTTCTGAGGGAACATCATCTTTATCTGACCAAGACGTATGCGTCTTGCCCATGGTCATGAGTTTTGGGTGGAATCCTTTTTACAACAATAAACGCAAGACTGCGGTACGTCTTTCCCCCCCCTTCTTTGAACCATCCTGAATCATGGCACCCAGGAAATTCACATAATGCACGAGTTTAAGACTGATTTTTATGGATATGATATGAAGGCTCTAGTTTTGGGATATATCCGTCAGGAACTGCGTTACACTTCACGAGGTGCGATTGTCCCTGGACCACTTTCACCCATACTAACAACTTTCTACTCACAGAAGCACTTATAGAAGACATAGAGTTTGACAAAAGGGTCGCACTCAAGTCAATGGCGAGGCCTGGGTACGAGAAATACAAGACAGACCCTTTCTTCACGGTTTAGGCCACCCCTCGGATGGAATGATTGTGCTATAACCATAACACATATCACTAACGGAGCACAGGGTATCTGGAGCGCTACATATAAATTGTTGTAACGCATAGGAGTCTTGCCAGCCGGTGCTGATATGCATTGCGCTGTGGAGCGAAAATATATGATATTGCCATTGATTGACAAGATACCGTGGAGATCCTTATCGATACTCCCTACCTGTAATGAAGAAAGACTAGTACTTGGATTGCAGATTAGCAGACTTATAGAACTCTGCTTGGGAGTGCATGCTGCGAATGACCATAATTAATTCAGCAGATACATCACAATACGAACAGCGCACAATACTATAGTCGTCTTGCTTTCTTTGCCCTCGTCCCTCCAATCTTTATAGGTGTCCTGTCCTCAACTACCACCACTGATGACCGAATATTATCTCCCTCAGAAGTCATGAACGCCTTTTGCACCGCTTCCCTCCCCCACCCGAACCCCTTGAACTTCAGCGCAAGCGTGACAGGCGATACACCACCATCCTTGAAGTTCGGCCTAGTTATTTCCTCCTCGACGCGCTTGAAAGCGCGCACAGCGCATTGGTACCCCGCTTCATAGCTGCTTTTATTCGCTCCCTTGAACCCACACGAACCACTTGTCCACCATCCGTTCTTGACAAGTTTGCCGGACGGATAGGTGAACACGACGCGGCAATTGTTGTGTGTAGTGTATACGTGGAGGTGATAAGGCTTTGAACGCTCCGCGATGTCCTTCTTTGGTTCCCTCTGCATTATTGCAGTTATGGGGTTGTAGTATGTATTTGGGCCCATCGGAGGCTTGTCTAGTGGAGGAGCAGCCGAATCTTCACCTCCCCACATGTCATCGGCGAGACTAGTCCCGAAGGAGGCAGGTCTTGAGAAAACTGCATTTTCGTGCAGGCCAGCACGATGGAGATACTGCCGTGCGGCGCTGAGCACTGATGGCCTCAGTTGAGCGAGTGAGACCATGTCTAATACTTCAGTTGAGCAAACGTAGAAATTAGCAAGACTTTGACGCGCCCACTGAGGACTGTGGGAAAGCAAAGTCTATCGCATTTTCGGATTGCACCGGGTCCGGAACCTTCTCCACCAACTCGCTGCTCACAAAAAACCATGGCTGTAAGTCAAATAAGCAGTCGAGTGAACGACACAATGCTAACTACGACTTAATTTCTAGTTCGCTAACGCGTTCTACAATACCATCGCGAAGCGCAACAGTACGTGACCCGATCCTCTAAGTCATGCACAGTTCGATTAACCAAATCAAACTTCTAGGCGTCTTCGTCACCTCCATTTTTGCTGGAGCCTTTGCGTTCAACGTAGGCTTTGACGTCGCTGTGACCAATTTCTGGGACCGTTGGAACCAGGGGGTGAGTAGCCGACACATCTAACGCTGCCCGATAACTGACTTTGCTGTCTTTACCCGCATGATTCAGAAACAATGGAAGGACATTCGTTCGAGATACGTCGAGGCATCAGACTCATAGCTTCGCCCAAGTTGGCCAGGGACCTACTTGCATAATGATTATATTCCTCAATAGACTTCTTCCCGGAATTGAGCTGTCGGCGTGTTCTAGAACTTCACCTCGTGTGATTTCACCGTGAAAGTTCGGTGTTGATGCGCTGCGTATCTGCTTCCATTTTTTCTGTACAGGCGGTATTCTGGCGACTTGATACGTACGAAATGCCACCGTCTACTAATTAAACATCTTCCTGAGCTTCACTTATGGAGGCGCGCTAAAATGAGAAGTGCATCACAATTTTATTATGAAAGTCCAGTGCTGTTGATACACTTGGCGCCGCCTATACATGTTCTGTAGTTATCTACCGACAACACGGGCGAGCTGGCACCTCCCCAAACTTATAGCGGTCACAAAAAGCTAGGGCAATTACAGGAGTCTGTTGGAGAACACGATAATGTAGGGATCGATATCTACGTGTTTGAATATGTTGAGTATGCGAGTATATACCTCGGAACACGGCGCTACATAAATGCAAGTGAGGGTGAGGTACAGTCTGGTACAGTGCTAGAATACGACGCTGAATTGTAAAGTGCAAATGAGCATTGGTCTACCGATGATGATAATGATGATGATGATGGAAGACAGACAGAGACAAACAGAAGGCAGTCGAATATAAATACGGTTGGTGGAATATAGGTAGAAAAACCACATACAACGCGATAGATACCGCATCGACTAAAGAGAAAAGGTGTCACTGGAAACAGAAGACAAGACAGTATCAGGTGGAGAGCATGCCGGGATCTTCATCATCCAAGCGGCTGAAGATTTCATCAAAGATCTCTTTGCCATCAGCAGATAGAGGAGGGAGTTGGTTGGTGTCAGCAGACGGATCATCTCGCGAAGCTTTGATCCTACAAACACGTTCTTCGTTCCAAATGTTCTCGAGGGTTTCCGTAAGGTTCTTCAACCCGAACAAGAACCCGCGATCAGGCTCTTCGGGAAAGTGAGGGGGAAACCGAGCATATATCAACCCCGTTTCCACATCCACTTCAGCTTGATAACCCTTGGAGCTTGACACCTGATGGATGATATCGCGATCTGCGGGCGGAGGATAAGGAAGCCAATCACGCCCGGTGGTTGTATGAGCGAAATCAACGATGCGGACGTTAACTTCGCCGCGCTTTCGCTTCCCGCTGGAACGCTTGCCAACTGGTCCAACAAGCAGGTCTTCGCTATGACTACGGCGCAATAAGGGCCGCTCGTCACTGGCGCTGGACCGCGTACTGGACCGCTCCAACGACTCTCCACGCTTACTACGGGATGAAGGGTGCTCAAGAGCGCATGTTCTGAACGCTTCTTGCGCCTCACGATCTCCGTCGTAGATAAGGAGGAGACTGCAGCCGTAGAACCTGAAGCCCTTCAGACGATTGATGATCCGAGCGAGAGCATAAAGCTTCTGGAGAAGAATAGGAATCTGCCAGACGAGGAGACGCTCGCCATCTTGCAGGAAAGACGCCAACACCGACTCAAACTCTTCGGCTTTTATGTCTCGGCCCCTGTACTTGTCTTGGGTTACGTATGATTGCGTGGCGTTGTTCCACACCTTGAATGTAAACCAGTTTAGTCAACTCTAGATTTCTTACCCATATATATATATACTAACCTGCATACCACAGATCCGGACGCCTAGGGGCCTACTCGTCGTGCGGTCACACTTCTTTCGTTGGCTCTTCTTTTTGGCGAGCGTCGCGTCCATTCCATACTGTCGTGTCCCCATCTTCAGGTCAAGAACGCACGAGCGTTTTAAGCGACCGGTCAGATCTTCCATACAAATGAAATGGTTTTGACGCGTGATCGAGTTATCAAAGTTGTATGTGGACGGAGGTTTACTGGAAACAGGTGTTACAGGGGTAGAAACCCCGAGAGATCGTGATCGACTTCTATGTCTTTTGAGGCAGGGAGGGAGGTCGAGTTGGTGCTGATCTTCAAGCGTAAGGGAATCCCTATCGCTGGCACTGTCCTGTGCATATATCGAGTCTATAGCAGACTCACTCTGGATACGCGGAAGAAAGGGGAACTGGAGACTTCCTTCCTCTTCTTTCAGCCTCTCTGCTTGTCCCACAGGGTGCCTTCGACGATGTGAGCGAGTGCGTCGGGCAGAGGAAATCGGACGACCCTCATGATCAGCCATCTCACCCTCGTCGTCTGTCTTCGTGGACCACTTGGCGCGATTCCGACGCTGAAACCTGCGGAGAATGGTGTTAAAGACGTGGTCTTTGAGCTTCGTGTTAACCATCGTTAACCCTGTTCCCCCGAACCAACTAGGAGTTCCCTGTTGCTGCCCGATCCCCGGTTCGGAATGGAAATGATGCAAGGAAGGTGGGTGAATCCCCTCCTGTACTAACGTACGATGAGCTGAATGGGATTCTGAAAATGGCGTTGGAAGGACGCCTGAATAGCATTCGGGTGAGTTGGAAGGGGTTGGAGGTTCCACCTCCTGGGAAGGTATGGTAGCCTGACGCAAGGCAGGGCTGCACTTCACTGATGAAGGCTCTGGTCGCACAAGGTCAGGTGTTGATGCAATCACACCGCGTAGACGATCGTGTTTCGGCCCGTCGAGATGGAGAACCCATTCAGGAATAATGTGACGATTACGGTCAAGCACCACTTCGGGCATTTCATCGGATGTTTCATGACTTGACACATCATCGTCTTCCAGAAACTGGGATGTCAACCCCTGAGTGGGACAAGAAAGATAGGAATTAGGTCTGTGATAGTCAGGAGGTGGTGGATAGGCGGAATGGGGATGAGGAGTATGCGTGTCGGGTACAGTCGAGTTGGTGGCTGGTAACGAGCCTTTGGATACGCGTCGGTAAGTGACAAGCATCACGCCAAGATAACGTGGAATGAATCCAAGTAAAGGAGGTGCTTCTCGCTCAACAGCTTCATAAAACTGATTCTCTCTCGAAACCAGAGGCTATAGAAGATGTTATTAGAAACGGATCATGACAGAATATCACCAGGCATACCTTGCACACGGCACGCTTGGTAAATCTATAGATCGCATTGTGGCCACCGACTTGGTTTCTGAAGGGACGTAGAGGGATATGCGGAAGACTCTCATCTGATGCACCGAATGTCATATTCAGTGGCTTTCGTTCCAGGTCACGATTGTAGCTGATTCTGTGCCCGACTGGGGATCAGCTTTGACCTTTTGGAATGAAGACAAGCACTTGTCGACAAGTACTTGCAGATAATAATCCTTATGCAGTAGGACAAAGATAGCTGTCGGTGACCTGCAGTGCCGACGTTGGACGAGCAGAGTTTTTGAAGAATGATGAATGACGATATGGACGAGACACGTGCTTTGTCGATTTGTTAGAATGATGACTAATAAGCACAGTTAGTCCAACCTTCAGCGCGGTGTGTCTGTTATAAGTCTCCCCAAATCATTTCAGCACGAAATGCAGAGAATTCATCGAGTGACAAGCATCTTACCTTGCAGGAACGAAAGAATCCTGAATCCAAACGTTAGAACGGACTTTTCTACTCAGCCGTCCAATCACATGGGGTGCCACGGGTCCCAACCTATCGCACGTTCGCTTGCAAACGTACTTCGACAAAATGCACATTGCACACCAGTGTGGTAGGACCGGTGACCTGATCCCGAATCGGCAAATGAAATCGTTTCTCTGGATCAAACCGAGTAAGCTTCGTTTCGCCGCAGTCATCCCACCTTACTTTTCACCAAGGGCGAATGAGAGCATGCACGGTCTTGCACTGCTTACAACCATGTATTGACTACGCCCATGTACATTTAGCCGCACCTTCTCGAACCTCGGGCTAGAACGTGGCCCCCGTTTTCCCACCCACAAATGTCTTCCGTTCTCTTCAATGGTCAGTACGTGTAATCAACGTGTAGGCAGATGGGCCGAACTGCTGGCACAATTTCCCCCGTGGGGACCGAGTCTCACTCGAGTACGATATCAGTAAACTCAACATTTTGCAAATTGAATAGGAGAATTCCGAATTCTTGCCTGTTTTCAGCCAAACTCACCCATGGATCGTCACCAACTTCCCAGTTCGGCCACTGGCACTGGTTCCTTATCAGTGTTCCTTCGGTGAGTTTGCATGAAATCATTGAGTCATCCGCTTCGAGGAGTTATCAACTTCCTACTACCACCCATTCATCGAGATAAATCTGATGGTTCCATGCACACTGCAGATAACCTCCGCGGTGCCCTCTTCACCGGCGGCTACACACCGAATAGTTCGTTCACATCCAGTACTTCATCGGCGTCCATTGTCTTCGTATTCATAGCTGCGAATAGCTATGATCACTCTCACTATGGACATGATAAGTTGATGTGTCAGATACCCGTGCATGTGTGAGTCGAGTAAACTTGTATCTAGATTCTGCTGATTCAAATTTCACATATTCTTATAGAGCGGACCGGTGCATTTTGGGAGGAACGGCGCAGATCCGAGTTGTGTACCGATGACACACTGGGGGATGCTGACTACGACTTAGCATTGTGCGTACACTCGGCGAATATCTATGTGCAAAGCCGCCGTTATCTCGAGTCGTGTTTACAGTGGCAAGCAATGGTGTAAAATAGGGTACTGATCTACAGCTTCCACAATGCGCACATTTCGCCATACATGCATTGTCTTTAGCTCACGCACTACTAGTAAGTATAGTAAGCAGTAGAGCCAGCCGGCGAGGCAAAGTGCACTGCCTCCGAGTCCAACTTTTGTTACGGGAACTTCGGCTTCCACACATCCTTGCTAGATCCTAGTCTACCGTATGAGTGGCATTCAATCTATGTATCATAATAATTGTGTTGTAGTATTTGTTATTTTGATCAGATGGTCATAACTGGAGTAGAGGAGGCTGTAGCATATCGACTTGGCCTCGTTTCTCATCCAGCCAACATGCCCCCTTTGCACAGTCCATGTCAAGTCAAGTCATCATAATCTACCTACAGTGCAAGATGAATCATTCACCCATGTGAATTACAAATGAAACATCCAACATCAGAAGACATTGGAGGAATCAAATAATAAAGGAAGGAGCCCAATGAAGGCTGACATGAGTGATACAGCCCGCCAGTGAGTGATGCAACTTAGAGCACCAGGAATTCTGGGACAGATGAAAAAGGGGCACAAAATTGCTTACAAAGACAGCCCCAAGAATAATGATAGTTGCCTGTTTAATTACAGATTGAGTCAAACAAGTACTAATTGCACAGGTTTGCAGGATCGTAAAATTTACTACAAAAGTGAGAAAATCAAGAACTATAAGACCCACTCCAGCAGCCTTGGGAATGTTGTAGTTTGTAATCCAGAATGGTGTTTGTTTGTTTAGTCAGGTTTTTAAGTCAAATGTCTCACATTGGTGCATGACAAGTTTCCAGTGCAGCAGGAGAATTATTGTCACCCAAAATAGATGAGTAGTGGTAAATATCAATATTCAGTGATTCAGATGAAGTGTACTTCAGAAATAACCTGCCTCATGCTACAATGTGGTACTCAAGACAAGTAAAATACAAGTAAGTTAAGTAATCTATTAGAAGCAACATGCAGTGGGATAAGATACCAGCATTATTAAAATAAGCATCCAGTTACTGCACAACAGATAATCAGCCACAAGACTGATGTTGAAGAATTGCTTGGCGTGAGAATAGAGAACCTTCCAGAAGATTAAGAATATGTAAATGAGTCAGATTACTAATAAAGTTCAAACTCCACTATAAATTGAGATATGGGTTCATATTTTATTGTTTCATCCCTCAACCAGATACCACTACCATCCCTAAAACACCCTCAAGTAATGGCACATCCTTCAAATAGCACTCCCTCCATTGATAGTGCTCCACCTACTATTTCTAAAACTTTACCTTCTGTCATTTCTGATGCAGGTGTCCAGTTACAGAGCAATCGTTCTGCTGGACATCGTGTGCAATGGTCAGACCCATTAGTATATACCAGAGGCATCCCTGCAAGACAACCTCAAGGACCTCATCCTGCATCACCTACTGTCACTCCATCTGTTACCTTCAATCATTCTGCCCAGCATGGCACTAGAACCATTGCAGGTGCGATGGAGGGTCTAAATTTGGCACCTGCTGCCTCTAGCACCCCATCTACTCACGTGCCACCACGCCAAACTTTCCAACCATTACGCTCTCAGCTCACTAGCACATCCCAAGCTGCTCATCAAGGTTCCTCCTTTATCACTGCACCCAGGAATCCAAACTTGCGCTTCATTTTTTCACGTCGATTACTATTAGCTCAATCTACTAGGGAACCTCTCAATCCTGTTGATTCTATTGTCATTGATGATAGACCTGCTACCTCAGGTAACATGAGTATGCCTTCAATGATATCTGATTCTAAACTTTATACAGAACCCCAGAGCCTAACACCAGTGCTCAACCAACCAAATGGCACTGTGGAGTCTACTACTACTTATGTCAATGGCACTCCCCCACCCACTCCCGCTATCACGGAAGATGCCATTGACCTCACCCTTGGCAGTGACGAGGAGAACAATTCGTTGCAAAAGCAACCTAAGAATCAAAAGAGCACACAGAAGCAAAGGAATGTGAGCATTAATGTTACTCAATAAATTCTGAAATCGCACTGACCGAAGCATTACATTCAGACTCAGATCCTATCAACGTCGATCAAAGTCAACACAGCCAAGCGCCGCCTCGACTCAGAATCCAGCGAAACCTCCGAAGGCGGTCCTCAAAAGCGCCTAAAGCGAAAAGGAGCGCTACAAACTCGTCTCGACTCAGATTCAGCGACGAGTGATATCGATCATGTTTCGCCCGGGCCACGCTCGTCAATCGAACCGTCGTCATCATCAGGCAGATTTTCGTCCAGCAGTGTGGAAGTTGTCGACGATGTCGTTCTGGATGGTCCGCGATCCATAGCGGATGCGCATAACAACCATGCAGAGCCTTCCATCTCCCTTAATGATACTCAAGCACCAAGTCATTCGGCTCGGGGGAGTGGGGTTTCAGTTGTAATGCGCAGCTACAGAAGGCCGGCTCCGGGTGGGAGTGCCGTAGCGTCGAGCAGCAGGATCAGGGTGGAGGACATGGAGGTGTCGGACGACGAGGTCGAAACCGGTGATCCTCAGCGAGCACTGGTCTATGCGAGTGTGATCTCCCGAAAATTGCGTATGTGGGCAGGAAAGTTAAAGGGAATCTCCCGTGCGCATATAGATGCTCTATTCGAAGATAACGTAGTGCGTGTTTCTCTGTTGCAGTCGTGGTGATGAAGGCTAACTTACACACTTTTCGGAAACAGGAGATTATGTCCAAAGGCGAGATTCTGAAGTTGTTGAAAGACATCGACCAGGACAAGGACTGGGCTACTCGTGCGGAAGTACAGGAGACTCGTCTTGAAAGGTACCTAATTGCTGTGGTGACCGACCATTTAGTGAACGGAACGGAAGCCTACAAGCTCGCAGTGCGCATCCTAGACAACTTTGCACAGAGGTTCCGCGGTGAGAGATACCCACGAACACGTAGGTGAACGCGAAGTGAAGGTGAAGGGAGGAGAACAGGTTACTCGTGGGATGGATGCTGCGGAATCCTGGCGTGGACGTGGAACGAGTTGCAAAATTTTCGCAGGTGCCAGCACTCTCATTAGGGGTACGGCCGACGGTTGACAAAGGCGTTTGTCCGTTTTTGGCGTGTGTCGTTGTTTCGTTGTTTCATATTCGTTGTCTTTGCTTTTTTTGCTGTGGTCTTGTGCTTTGTGATGTTCTCTGCTTTCATCATGCTCTCTTGTTGTGGTTTTGTTTCTTATGTTCTCTGCTTTCAAGTCACACACATGCTCTCTTGTTCTGGTTTTGTTTCTCGAACGTTGACGTTCACTGTTTTGTGTACTTGATTATACCATTTGCTCTCTTCAAGTTGCTATAACCTTCAACATGTTCCTTCCGATTGGTTACTCTCCTTTTGCATGGGCTAACGTCTTACGAACTTCTGCGTACAATGAGACCTGTGAAATTCTGATCTATAGTCCTATGAATCATAACCATGCTTCCATGAGGATCGTATGTTACTGCCGAGTCAAATTATCGCATGAACTATAGTGGGCTGGTAAAAGTAGGTCATGAAAAAGTGTAGAGGAAGGCGTGAAACGTATGCAATGACCAAGGTGTGGGAAATGAACGGCGTTGATGCTAACAAACCATGTCTATCCGGCGCTTCTTCATCGCGGGACCCTCATCAGCCGAATCAACGTCGTCTACAACAATGATAGGCGATTCGCTACGAGGGGAAGGTGCGGATGAAGTTATTGGCACAGGCACCGGAGGCTTTTCTGCGACACTGACAGCAACGCTCTCAGCAGTCGGCGGATGGGCAGCTGGTGCTTGAGATTGGGCACTCTCGAAATCCGGCACCGTGACTAGTTGAGGCGTCCGTGATGGGAGTGGCATAGTGGTAAACGGCCCACCTGCTGGAGGGGCTTTGTTGTCACGAGATCCAGGCGGGCCCCCGCGACCACCTCTCACGCGTTTTGTCCGCCCGCGTCCACGCGTCATTTTCTCCTTCAGATATCGCACTATATGACCTTGTAATATTTCTAGAGCTTTCTGGGCACCAAGCGCCTCGAGCTCTCTGAGCTGCTCTGGAGACAAATGTGAAAAGATCGTGGGAGATAGTATGAGGGTATTATTATGAAGAATGATAGGTTGTGCCTGCTCAGGGTTCGAGGATGAAGGATGCGAAGCTGGAACAGGTCCAACAATGATGGGTAGGCAAACAGATGCTGGTAATGCTGAGAAGGGTGCAGATGCCGCGCTAGATGCCGCACATGCGGAAGATTCCGACGAAGGAGTCGATGCTAGTGCAGGAGCCACATGCGGAGATGCGGCACCTGGTGCTGGATGCACTATTGAAGTGAGCTTGGATGTCGTGAAAGGCTCTGACTTAATAATGGGTGTAGTTGTAAAAGGACTCGCAAGGGGAACTGTTGTCAACGGATTTGTGTGCGGTATAGAGGTGTTAGAAGACTTGAATGGCAGCGGCGTTGATGTTAGTGGCGGCGGAAGAGTAACGCCTTTGATGTCGCCCTTGACGCTGCGCTTGAGTGCAGGTTCTAGAGGCGCCGCCCTCTCCTTCTTCCTGCCCTTTCCGTCTTTACCACCCGTACTTGACGATGCAGCTTGCGATCTGGCTTCTTGCTCCTCGAAGGTGTGTTCATATTGTTCGTCCACGGACCAATAAAATCCCTTCCCTCGCTCTCCAGAACTCCTCTCCATCTTCTTGAATGCACGGCCAGATGATAAATTGTGTCGAACAGAGTTCTGAAAAATAGGTGAGCCATTGGAGTGTCAGGTGCAATGTCAGAGATAAGATAGCTCACTTCCCACCCTGCACCCTCATTGTACCGGTACCAGTCATAAGTCTCCATCATCCACGAGCATATATCCTGCAGCGTCGCCTTGCCACCCATTGCCTTAATAGCTCGATAACAGAGCTGAGCGTATGTGAATTGAGGTTTGGGGGGCATAACCTCTGGCTTTGGTATAGGCAGGTCTGATTTCTTGCGCTTTTTGGGCGCGGTCTTTACCCTGGGTATACTGTTCGTATTTGGGAGCTGTGGGTCTGGTGACTTTGGCGGCGGTACCGGTACGGAGACGGGGGGCGGCGAATTCGAGGGAAGAGAGGAAGGCGGTGATATAGACGTAATATCGACAGAAGGTGAACGTGCACGCTGCACTGATGAATTTGAACTCGGGGATGGCGAGTCCTCCGGTGCTGGAGGGGGCGGGAGCACGAAATGGAAGGTCCTAGAAGCTATTTGTATTTGAGACCTGATCCACGGTTAGACACGCTCCCGGCTCATGAGAGATCAAATACAGACCTTTCCCCCAAAGGAACTCTGCTACCGCTGCCAGACCAAACACCGTCCACCCAAGCGCCGTTTCTGCCTACGACGACGAGAACAAAGCGCTCCTCGTCCTCCTCGTACTCGATCTTGGCATGGAGCCTGGATACACTCTTGAGGGGTCCCAAATCGACATCAACAGGACTGTTGTCGCCAGCAGATGTAGATGCATTGGGTACGCAGCGTCGTCCAATAGTGACTGTCAGGGTCTGAAGATAGAAAGTGATGTTTGGGAAGACAAGAGAATAATATGCGCTGATCTTTGCTGTAGAGTCATCTGGAGAGGGAGAATTACGAAGGACGTCGATGTTGTCCATCTGAGAGTCCAGCGCTGCAAGGGCTGTCAAGGACATTACTTATTGTTGGAGTCGGCGAGTGTCGGTGAGACTGACGTTACTTAACACGGGGTCAAACAAGAAAAATGACCCCTCGATTTCACATTATGTAATTTCAATACTAAATCAATGGCACACTGGCAGTGTACTACAACCATGTCGCGAACAGTGACAGAGAAAGCACAGAATGAAATATCTTCTCTAGCCGACAGAAATTTAGACAGCACAGACTCTGATCTGCGTTACATGGCATATGCTGCTCGTCTCAGGACTGCAGTGCGTGCCGGCAGTCGTTACATTGCATATGTATGTTTCTTCGCATCACTCGACTTACTTTTGTTCGTGGTGAAGACTGATCATAGACTAGTGATGTCGGAGAGGCATTTCGTCCCGTAGTACCTCCTGCCATAGTTACTGCATGCTACGGTATTTCATGGCTATATCTGGCTGGGTGCGTGCCGTCTCATTAATCTGTGTGCCGACTAGTGACGAGCCATGCTATCATAATACCAGCGACGTGAGCTATGAAGCGTACAAGACGCATAGACGCGGACCCAGCCCAATAGAAGCTGCCCATTTCTCCGAGCCGACAAGAGTAGGTATGGTGGCCGTCAAACGTGCGGTTTTCCAATCCGTAGCATCAATGTACGTGCACGTTTCTAATTATTACGCCCTTTCGTTGCGATCGTTCTCATTGGATAATCCCATTACGCACAGGGCGTTACCCGCATTCACAATTCATACCGCCGTCAACCAAGCAAAAAAAGCTTTCACGAACGTGCAAAACAAGAGATTGAAGACGTGGGGTCCAACTATCAGTGGACTTGCTATCGTTCCTTTCCTGCCGTACATATTCGATCACCCCGTTGAGACGGCAACGGACAAGGCGTTCGAGTGGATAGAGAAGAGGCTAATTGAGAGTCAGGACACTAGAGAGAAGCCATAATCGTAGTAATTAGTCCACTTCTCTTATCTACTGTTTACCCTGTGCATCGATGTGCTGTCTCTAAAGATTGTTGTCTCCACTAATAGAGTCAGGACTTCCCCATCACTCTGATCATCTGAGAAGTTCTCTACTGTTGATGCTGTTCGTTATTCCTCGGCTTTCACGCCTTCTCTTTATTTACCTTCGAACGCCGGACCCAGGCCCCCTCTCCTGGGACCGGACAGCTAATTCCGAAGTGGGTCCCATGATCAGGAGAGTTCGTTGACCATGCTGACATCGAACTTCGAAGCCTGCACAATCCAGGGAAGTAGTAATTATATAATAGGGGGAACAAACACAAATACTGTTATTTGACAAATGGACTCATGGGTCAGTGCAGAGCAAAGCACATTAATAGACAATGCACCATGCCATTAAATCGTATGATTGTAACTTCCTACTCGTGATCAGATAACAATGTTATGTGCGGTATGTTACAGTGTAGTGCGACCGAGTGCGAGTGGAATCGAGCTGATGGAGCTTGGCGGAATAACTCCAACTTCTGTCACGACTGCCGTGATACTTGAAGGAGGTGTCAGGTCGTAAAGCGGATTAAGGATTTCTAGATTGAGCTGTTTGTTGAGGGTAAGTGTATCTTTTGACCGAGTGAGGGGGAAGGACGAAAATATGTCGCCAGCTGGTGCTACAGGGTCTTAATATTAGTTTGAGATGAAGGGTACCGACTAAGAAAAACGTACCGAGCTCGTTCTTGGTAAAACTATCTAGCTGGATTGTTTCGGCAAACTTGTATGTCTCGCAGCAAACGACGACAGGAACGCTGTGCTGTTTTGCCATCATAGCTACGAGGGCCGTGCCTGCACGGGAAAATACGGCGCCGTTCGAATGTAGGGAGTGAGCGCCCACTAAGACTGTCGACACCTCTGTGATGACAGATCCAATGGATGGCAGAAGGAGATAAGTGCAGGGAATGCCCATGGCAGAAAGTACGGAGAGAAGCTTCTTGCCTATTCCGTAGGCCACAGTATGAGATTACAAACGCGGCTATGATAATAGGATCTCTTGCCTTCTAGCATTGGCCGGGAATCGACGACCACAACCGAGAATTGCTTCCCATCATCCCACGCACCGACCAGAACTTGTTCTACAACTGAAGATCTGAGAAAATAACTATGAGCGGATGATGACGGGAAAGTGTGAGTCTTGTTACCGAGCATACGTCAAAATGACGTCTCCGTCTTTGATCTTGGTCCCTGCAGTCTCTTGGATAACTTGATCTGCTATAGTAATTCGTTCGCTGATATAATCATCTATCTTTTGACAAAGAAGATTTTTCGCCTGAAGAGTGAATGAGTGCCACGTATGACAGGGACAAATGATTGAGACCGACATCCTGCTCCGGAAGGTCGATATCCGATCCACTGATCTCTAACTTGAGCTCCCGAATGGCATTACCCATAGTGACAGACATGGGGCGAGCAGAAACAAGATGAGTGATTTGAGGCGAAAGATGTGTCAAGAGATGCCTCGAGAGCGTATTGTTAGGAGGAGTGACATAGTCTTGTATCACCTTGATAAACATTAGCAATGTTCGGTAGACCAGGAGGATCGTAATATACAGTTTTAAAGGCAGTCAGGGTGGAAATACAACGCGCATTTGCCCCTACGATCTTAAACTCCGAAAATTGCAATCCGAGGCGGATGATAGCGGGGTGTATATCTCCCTTACTAGGGCCAGGGGGTTTGGGGAGGCCAAAATGGGAGAATATCCGCAAACCACGAGCAGAGTCATCGGATGTGGTTTCTTTTGTGTCCTTCGTTGGTTTTCCATCAGGACCTTTTCCACCCTTCTTGACTGAAGCACTAGTGCTTGCAGCAG